GTTTATTAGATTAAACGACGTTGTGAAATACCTTTTCGACCATCTTCCGTCTCAAATCTTCTAGCTTATCGCTCAAGTTTTTCTCCAGCTGCTTCTTCTGCTCCATGAAATTTTCCTCTAACTCTCTCTTCGTTTGATCCAGCTTGTCTTTGTACTCCTTTCTCAAGGCTTCGACCTCCCTTTGATGCTCTTGGCTCAATTTCGTTTTCGTTTCCTCCAAGTCCTTGCCCCGCTCCTGTTTCCCCTCAGCCTCGCGACAGAGTTTAGGAAAGTCCGAGGTATCGTCGTCCTCAATTTGTTCGTTTCTCGAGAAATCTACTTTCGACTTGTTTTTCCAGCGAGCGTCAGAATCGCTGTGATCGGTGGTCTCGCTCTTGGAGTTCCTGCTTTGCTCCTGTTTCTCAGCAGTTTCGCTGCGCTCCTTCTCTGCGTGATCGAGCTCGCGATAAACTCTAGGAACGTCCGACGTATCGTCGTCGTCGGTTTGCTCGTTTCGCGGGAAATCGACTTTCGATTTGTTCTTCCGGCGCACTTCCGAATCACTGAACTCGGTTGTCTCGCTTTTCGACACTAGATCGATATTTTTGATTTTATTGAATTTATTCGTGTACGTGTAATCGAGGCTGCTCTCCCTCGACAAGCTTTCCCCTGACAGGCTGTCCCTGGTCATTTGCATACGATGCTCCTTCTCAGAAACGTTCTGAAGGACGAATCGTTTACGATGCTCGTTCTCTGGCACGTTCCGAACGACGAACCTCTTGCCCACGATTTTCTCCGACGACGAACTCTTTTTCACGCCCCCACCGTCCTTATCTTCGGATTCCTCTTTAGACTCCTCGTTAAATCTTTGGGAACTCGATTTCTGAGACAAGGGAATCCAATCGATGTCTTGATTCGAAATCTGAACCTCCTGTTCCTCTGACTCGGACTCCGAGTCGTCCTCGGATCTAGAATAGGTGAACCTGATGTCCAATTCCTTTTCTATGTCGAAGCGTACGCTCTTCCGTTCTTCGTCCACTGGTCTGTCATCTGCTGGGAACCGGTCAAAAATTCAATAATTCGCGTCAACGTGATAATAATACTACGTGTATATTTTCCTTACCATCTTCGGACTGTTTTTCCCTGAGAATTGATTTTAACTTGTCCCCACCGACGTTACTGCTCTCATCCGGGATCAACATGGTCCTGAAGTCGTCCAGTTTAGCACCTTCGTGACTGGGAGTAGTGTCCCTGCTCCTGTTGCTCTTTAGAAACATAGTGCCTCCACCACTCAAAGTTAGTTCCTTCTGTTGGCCAAACTGGCTCGGATGCTTCTCCTTGTCGAACTTTTCAGACTTCTCCGACCTGGCCAACGCGGTGACACTGAGTTTATCGATGTCTATGATGTTCTCTTCGGAGCTAAACCTACTGGACAACTGTTCCCAGTCTTTCTCGTGCCTCGGGCTAAGAGACTCTGATCTCTTCAGCACTTCCTTTAAATCTATCTCCTGTTTCGGCGTAGCGGCCATGGTCGTATCGACAGCCGCGGTCGATGCGACCGGTTCCAAAAGCTTGGGACACTCGTAGAACCTCGGATCTTGAAACCTGAGGTTTGTGTAGTCCCTGGCGGCTCTGTTAGTCGCCAGAGGATTATCCATTTTCAAATCGTCTCGTTTAGACTGTTGTCTCTCTTGGCTCGCGAGATCCTTCTTTCTCGCGCCATCCGTTTTTTCTAACTTTTTCAAAGGCGTCAACTTCGTAGGTATCCTAGTAGGCGGTGGATTAGTCTTGACAGATTGTTTTACAGAAGCTTCCTTCGCCGAGGAAGTCTCCTTGGGCAGAGTTGCTTCCTCGTGCGACTCGAGATCCTTCGCTGTTGTCTTCGAGTCCTCTTCTACTGATCAGAAAACACACTTTACATAGATTCCTAAGGCTGTTTCGCTACGCTGTCGAGAGAGGAAAAGCTCGGAAGAGATAAGAGTCGATGGTCGTTGCAAGGATCAGAGAAAAACGCGAGCAAACTTTTCCCCGCTCACGATGACCCTCTCGAGTGAAAAGAGCCGACAGTGTCAACGTTCTCTCGCGAGCGAGTCAACGACTGTTTTCTCCTCTTTTTTCCACTCTTCCTTTTATCTCTTTTTTTTTTTCTTTTTTACACTCGCAACAGAGTCGAGAGGGACAGCGATGAAATGGATAAGAAAATATGTCTAAAAGCTCGAAAGTGTGCGAAAGCGATTATTATTAACAACAAAGAACACAGCCGTCGCATCTAAAACGTTATGCGTTCTTTTTCTCAAACGCGTTTCCCCCTTCCCCCCCTTTCGTGACGATTTCCTTTTGCTGCTCGAAAAAAAACAAAAAAAAGCAAGCGAATGATAAAGAGCGTCGAATTTGTTACACCGATCCACGAGACTTTGAACAAACGTGTCATTTCGACGGTTACATTCGCAAAAGAGATAGGTATGTATAGAAATGAATACCATGTCAGTCGTAACAAGGTAAAGTAGATAACGAATAGGTCGGTGTATGTACGTGACAACATCGATATACGATGAATTCACTAATAAGTGATACTATCGAGTATGTACTTATAGACTTTGATTTACAACTTCTAGTTAAATTTTCTGTTGCGTATTTGTTTAGATTACGAACTCTTCACCTGAATTAAGATATTTTTGTATCAAACAATAAATAACGTTTTTTAACTGGTTTACTTTTTTTCTCTTATCAAAAATTTGTTATTAATACATCATCAATTCAGAATTCTAATAAAATTTAATTGATCGACTTTTAATTAAAATCATAATCGGACACGACTCACCGCGAATCTGGTTTCCCATTGGAATACGTCGTAGCGAGGGGAAATCAGATTTAAAAAAAAAACCTTTGCCCTTTAAACTTAGCACGCCTTTAATCTCCTACTGTTTCCGACGTGGAAGGAAAAAAAGAACGAAAGAAAAGAATATCAAAGGGAACGAACTGCCAACAAATATTGACTTTTCACAGCCGTATAGCTCTGTCTAGGCCACAAAAGCCGCGAGTTTGACGCGGCTTTAAACAGTGCTTTCCCATTCCTGGCTAATGATAGCTCTCCGTGCAATTCAATGACAATATTTCGAACGAAAGACACGGTGTCGTAAAATCTTCGTTCGAAGCTCGTGTCGTAAAATCATCGTTATTAAAAAAGGGAAGGAGAGAATTTATAATAAAACTCGAGCAAGAAAAATAAATAAATTCGTGCCATGAAGCAAACGCCAGTTGACCAAGTGCACCCCTTTGAGCGATGACCGTGTCAGCAGCTTTCGAGCGAGAGACGGTAAAGATCGCAACATTGACTGAACAATTCGCGTTCGATGGACGAGGACGCGATAATTGGACGAATCTACGTTCAAGCAACTATTATGTACTTTCACGAGTGAAGTGCACCGACACGTGAGTACCTCAAACGACCGTGTAAAAACCGGCTGGAAAGATGTTCGAGGGTTCTCTACGCGCGTCCGCATCCAGCCGAAGAAATTGCGCCAGAAATTCGCTCGTGTAACAACTGTATCGTCCTCGAAACGATTGCAACGAGGAGCTTTCAGTTTCCGCCTCGGTTCACTGGCCACATTCTACGAAAACAATCGGCACAACGCGAGAAGTGAACTTTGACGAAAGATTGGAATTAGTTTACACTCGAGAGACAATTATCGTGTTTGTTACGTAAAGCCAGCGGGAAAGTGGCACGTTGATAAGATTAACGCTAGACAGCGAATCGATACACGTGTTTGCAAATAATTAATAAACGAAGCAGTTTCGCACGCGAATCGAAATGTTACATAAAACTTGAACGCCGTGCCGGCTTACATACTAAGCTACGAACTGCGCGACGTTACGTAAAAAACTCGAGCCAACAAACCAAAGGCTACTCGGCTGTCAGCGATCTGCGGTCATTGGAAGAGAAGCGGTCTGTAATTGCACGAACTCGATGCTTCAAGGTCGAAAGCGAGAAAATATTCCCTCTTTACGTAATTGACGCGAATCTGACGCGCTGGATGCCATGCGTCCGGGCGCGTCAGTTTTCGAAATCGAAATGAAGACATCGAGACGCGAGATCGCGAGATGAATGTCAGAGACAGTGGCCGATTGTTGATTCGCTGAAAAACCTAAAAATACGGATTTGCGGATTGACGAGAGGCCAGCCCCGGTTTTCATTGGCAAACGAATCCTCGTTGTTTTGATACGGAGTGCTTGGCACTGCCAGAGTAAATGATACGCACGTAGATGCAATTAAGTAAGACGAGAGATTCACGTAAAATGAGAAACTTTGGCAATTGAAGCTGCGAAAGCAGATGTTTTTCGAAACGTGCTCCGCCTGGTAATCGTACCACGGGCAACGTGTTGCATTTTCGATTTCAATAGCGATTCAACGACACAGAATTCACGGGCATGCGTCCAATTTTCCTTTTCGGACAACGAAAGAACAAGGAAGCAACGAAAGTTCGATCTTTAAGCAGGTGCGATTATCTTTTATCTTGTTTACTCGCGTTCGCGCTCAATAAGTTTCGAATGCAAGAGATATCGAGCTGACGCAGGCGAAAATATATATCATCGAAACACATTGTGTTATCGTGTAAAAAGCCAGAGTCGGGAAAATATGAAAAGAATTCGTTACTCGTTGAATCGTGGAGTTGCCGACGAATTGGTATCCAGAAATGAGCGTCGAACGAAACAACGAGAGAACGATTACAGCAATCTGTATCCATTTCGAGTGCGGGAGGTTTAACCCTTTGCACGACTCTCTTACCGCATTGTCTGGCACAAGATACAAAGAAAAATAATCATGCCATTACGATTCGATGATACGCATATTATGCTTTATTTATACACCATGATCTACATACATGTACAAAACGCGAATATATAGGTAGTTCGATAAATAATCTACCCCGTTAGTTTGGAGTAGCAGTCGTCGATAAATAAAAAAATATTACATCGTGTGTCATTTTGTAATTCAGTCTTCTCGTCGGCTCTACACGTTCTACAATTCTACGATATGTATCGATCGCAGAACAAGAGGCAAGTACAAATGTGCTATTCGATAATAACACTCGCGATCTATCTTCTAATCTATCGGCTAATTGCGTACTAATAAAGAGGAGTGGATGATGCATCTGTTAATCAGTCTTTGTCTCTATCTAAAGCGCTAAGTGCAATCAAGTGATAACAGTCCATGTGCAAAGGGTTAATCCTATATTTTCCATTCAGCCGTAATGACGAGGCAATCCGTACCAACGCTGATTTGCCTGGGGTTACCAGGTCTAGCGTTGCCAGCCCTGGCTTGCTCCACCATCTCCTTGTACACAGCGTCCAGAGGATGTTGCCAGGTGGTGATTCCAGTTGATGCCTGATAGTAGTACCAGGCGCCGCTGGTCTCGTGGAAGCATGGTAACCATCCCTTCGGGAGGGCCGCCATCAGGCCCTCCCGAGCCAAACTCAGGAGGTGTGGTTCCGTGTCCGGGTCGATTCCCAAGCGCCTCGCATATTCGAGTACCTCTGAAAAAGCACACGTGCTCCATTAGTTGATTGCAAAACACGGGCGATAGACCGTGGATATTAATTGGCCTGGAAACGTGCACTTTACTGCCTCGTTTCTCGCTTCTATCTAACACCCGTGTACGTGTGCGTACACCGAACAAAATTTCTCTTTTTTCTCTCTCTCTCTCTCTTTTTTTGTTACGAAACGTTGAACAAGGTCAAGGATTTCCAAAGAACAAAGACGGACAGAAAATAAAAGAAGTTCTTCGCTCGATATTTTCTATGCGAGCATCGTTTGATTCCCCCGAGTAACGTTCACGCGATAAAAAACCCCCGAGGAAGATGGATTTTTATATCTTGTCGCGGGATAGAATTTATAAACTACTTATTGGCTACTATAAATATCCACGTCGATAAGTAACGAAGGAAGCATTCACAAGCTAGTGACACGAGTAATTTCAAGGGCAGCTGTACGCAAGCTGTAACGATGTACATCGTCTGTAGACAAGGTGGAAGTACACGTGGCAATATGGAACTTGGAAAAAGAAGATTGCAAAAAAATATTATCTATTAACATTAACTACAGCGTTAAAACGAATGCGTTTTTCCAATGTAGCTACGCATAAAGTAAAAGCTTTTTTCGTAACGAGAACTGACGTATCAAATTGCGTTTGTCTGAATAAATTTAAGACTGATCCATATTAGTTAACTTTGTTATATTGTTATAAAGTTACCTGTGCATACAGGTGAAGGGCCTAAAATTAAACGGCTCCAAATATTACAATAAAAAAAAAAAACAAATCCATTAATTTCATCATTCTGTTTAATTAAACGCGTCCGAGATACGTCAATTGCTTCTCAGTTATAATTTATGCTTGCGTTCTGTAGAAATGCAAGAATTCGGATCGAAAATCCGTTTATTGATTTCTATCTACGAGAAGAGAGCTCTTTTTCCCCATGAGTTCCTCTGCCTTTATCAACATCGACCATTCATTTGCGATTCTTTCGCACGGAAATTAATTGCAGCAACCATAAAATCACGTTCAGAAGCGACTGGAATAACGCATCGACGAGAGTGCAAACAACGTGAAAGATGAAATATTCATTTAATAGGCAAGTAGCCTTTGAGTTTGAATGCTTTGCACTTTCTTGGGTAAGTCAAACCGCGACGACAGCGCTACAAAGAGGGCCGATTAAAAATTCCATCATGGAAGGTCTTTGACAGGTGGCTCCGAGCACGGGGGAAACCGCCACATCTGTCTTGCATGCGGTGGATAAAATTTCGTAGCCATGACAGTGACAACGGACGAACATTTCACGGACAGTTTACAAGATAATCGCGCGAAATGGAACCGCGTAGTGAATTTTACTTACTCCCGTACGTTCGACGGGACTTTGCCTCGCGTAAATCTAACCGGTGGTACAGATAGCAAGGGAGGAGGTCCTCGAAGCTTATGACAAAACTTTCGCCGCACTGCGGATTCTATTGATTTTCCTCGCCATGCTAGGGGTACGAGCTCAGTGTTCCCGTCCGACCAGGGTGTAAATAAACAAGGAAACTCACCGCCGAAACTATTCGACTTTTTGTCACTTTGTCCCTGACTTTTTACATGTCAAGATTATCGCGAAGATTTTTTTGTCCCCTTTGCCTCGCGAATGAATTTAGGTTGACCTTTTCCGAGGTTTATCTTTTGTTTTAAATCGTCATTTTCCTTTGTTTCATTCTTTCTTTTTTTTTTTTTTTTTTTTTTCCTTTGTTCTACGTCGAAAGATAAATGTAAAGATGTCGCAATCGCAAAGTACATATAAAAAGACACACGATCCTGCGTTTTAGAAAATACGTGTTCTCGGAATGGCGACTCGTAAAAAAAACACGAGAAACCTATAAAAACTGCATGCCCCCGAGAAATACCTCCCCGACACGTTGCGGAATATGATGATCAAATGCTCGGTGTATATTATTTAACCTCTGGCCAAACTAATTACCTGTTTCGCGGCCCGATTCGTCGATAACCCTGAGGAACCGGATATAGAGGGTGAACAAACGCAACGTGACGAAATAAGTCTCGCATCAATTCGGTGATTGCCGAATCGCTCGTTTCCAAGGATTAACGAGAGGCGAAAAAAGAATGAAGGAAAGAGGAAAAGAAAAAAGAAAACGAGGAAGAGAGGAGGGGGAGGGAGAAGGGAGCTGAAAATGTGGATGACAGTCGGCGGCGAGCGAAGAAAACCACCCCCGTGGTGCTACATCGATCGAGAACGTAGAGGAGGAAAAGCGAAAAAAAAGTAGTGTACGAGCGATCGAGCGGAATACACTACGGTTGTCCACGTACCTTCATCTGACGGATTCGAGGCGCCGTCGAAGATCTCCTTGCATACAATCGTGGCTGCGCTTTCCTGAGAAATGCTCATGCTAGCACGAACAGCCGTATCCCAAGTGTAAGAGGTTCACATAACACGTCAAACGCGGACGTGCTTGGACCGCGGACAATACACCGAAGAATCGCGTGGACCGATGAACGTCATTTTTCGTAACGACGCGTGCACGCGAGACTTTCGCTCCGCTGACGAGGCCTGTCCGACGACCGTCAACGTTCAATTCGAGTTGAACGTAGGCGGTGGAAGGAGGAGCGAGCACGAAGCGTACAGCGCCCCCGGTAGCCTGACCTCGAACTAGGCCAATGATAAGGAAACGAGTTACAGCCAGCGGCAACTGTCTTATCGATTAACCGAAAGCCTGCATACCGTTCTTGTTGGCATCGCCGCGCGGGAAATATCTCGATCCAGACTTCCACTCGGACTTTTTCCCCCCTTTTTTTCCCCCCCGTTTCTTTTCCTCCTATTATATAGGTTGATTCGCATCGCGGAGAATTGGAGTGGAACCCGCTTCTGTGAAACCGTCGGAGAATAGGCCGACGAAATGGAGATGACCTCGCCGCATCGACTCCACTTGCTTAAGCTTCCCGACTCAAATGAATTTGAATGAAACTTGATTTTGACAGTGCTGATTGTTTTAAATGAATTTACGAATGCCAGTGTCTAGGTGTCACAGTGTTCCACGTTGTTGTACCTTTGGACACTGGCGAATTTGATGAATTTATAAGTAAATATATATCTTAACGTGTCTTTCTTACTGCGGTCACTCTCTTTTGTGTATTCGAATATGTCAATGCAGTGGCGTGTTTGCTACGCCCTATATACTGAAATATTATACTTAAATACTTGATGATTGAAATACGATATAAATATATTATTTACGAGCGAATGAATAAAACATTACAAAACTCTGACATCTTAAATGCCATCTATTGTTCTTGGAAGTAATGCAGATACCCTTTAGAAAAGAAACGGGTAGTGATTAAAATTTATTTCTCTATTCGGTTTTTGTGAGTAATGTGTAGGAGCTTACGAATTCAATGATTTAAAAATGTATGTAATGATAATGAGTATGGTATGATAGTAAAAGATATCGATCAACAAATATAAATAGAGACTATTTCTTCTACAAAGTGACAAATATATTTTATACAACTATTTTTAAACATCTATATTTTTATATATCTATATTAATTTTTAAATGTTCGATGTTTCATATTTTATCGATCATCGTCTAGAACGATCGCAGCGCCGATGTAACGAATGCACTGAATCACATAATGAATTTTAGAAAACAGTAATTTCTTCTTTACCGATAAGTTCATAGTGACTTTTCTCATCGAAGGATAAAAACGTTTCCCCTAGAACGTACATAACTTTTTTGAATAAAATAAAGAAATTTTGTCAGATTGTGGAAACATATTTAGCTTGATTCTTTTTCCCCATATAAATATCAATATCATGATTGTAAAAGTTTCAAAATATTAGGTAACAAAGCCACTCCATTTAGTTGTTCCTGACAAAGATGGCGCCAACATATGCTTAACTACCTCAAAAATTAATCTCTTTCGTAATAAACTATTCGCGATCTTCACGAATAAGATAATTGTTGTAATTTGTTGTCAAATGTATAAACCTTGCAAAATTATATCAAACAGTGATCAAATTTATTTAATAAATATTCAATGTTTGTACATTTAAGACTTGACTATTTCGATTTATACTACTTCGACTTCGTTACATGAAATATATAAATAAATATTTTTTAATATCTTTTTGCAACTTTTCTGCATATATAATAAAAACTTAAACATTAAATCAATATAAAAATATAAAAATTATAAGTGACAATGAATATTATATCTCGTTATTATATATTGCTTATTAATATCTATATAGTTAAAATTAAAAATTTTTAAATTAATTTTAAGAGCAAAATGAATAGTGTGATTGCACTGTTATCTTAAAACAAGCAATACATTAATATATTCG